CATCTTCATCAGAACAGCTTAGTGAATCTGAGCTTCCTCCAGGGTTGGCAAAGGGATTCTTATGCAGCCCAATAAAAAATGCACCACATCCACTCTCCGTTACAGTGGACGGGAGTTTTTTTTTTTTTTAAACTCTGGTACTTACGCTTAATATCTGCACATTTCTGAATAAGACATTTATTTATTTATTTATTTATTTATTTATTTATTTATTTATTTTTGGCGGAACTGGGGATTGAACTCAGGCCCTTGCACTTGCCAGGCAAGTGCTTACTCTACTGAGCCATCTCCCCAGCCCTGAGTAAGACATTTAGATGTTTAGCTACATGTGCGGGCTTGTGAAATGTACTCAGTCTATTTTACTTTACGCATCAAAGATCATGAAGATTTTTGAAGTGCTACTCAACTATAGTAGTGCTTTACAAGGATGTGACAACAACTAGCCACAGTATACAGACTTTTGGCTTTGGACTTTGGACTCCAACCATTTGGAAGTAACAAGGAGGGAGGGCTGACTTTCAAAGCAGATCATAGCCAAGTGGTGCGAAGATCAAAGAAAACGGTCGTTTAGAAGCCAGGTAGGAAGAGAAGATAAATCAGAGGGGCAAGTGCTGCAGGAGGAAGCTGAAGAGCCAAGAGGAGACCAGTCTCCCTGAGAAGTCTCAGAAGCTGTCACTAGTGCAAAAGATCCGCGAAGTCAGTCAAGCAGCACTGGAGCAGAGGGCTGGCTGGGAGACCTGGTGGAGATATGACACGGGATGGCCTGGGAAGACCTGCCGTCGAGAAGCGCTGTGTGCATGCGTGTGTGCCTGTGTTAGGGGCTCTCGAGTGGCAGAAGCAATAGAAAATGTATGCGCGAGGAGCCTTATTAGGCTAACTCAGGACCAGAGGCAGGAGGGCCCAGTGTGTGTGTGTGTGTGTGTGTGTGTGTGTATGTGTGTGTGTGTGTCAAAAGAGGGCGGCAGAAGCTGCAGCAAGAAGCTGGGAGCTGCGGGACCAAGGGCACAGCACCGTGCAAGATCAGAGGCTGGGAAGCTCCGTGGGGAGCCGCTGGAGGGAGTGCAGGTGGGAGGACTGAGGCCTGGAGACCCGCTCCCAGGGGGACAGCAGGGGACAGATCCACTTAGGGAGTGGGGAGCGCTGCAGAATGGTGCACTTCCTTCTTGCGTCCCTTTTGCATTCCAGCCAAGCTACATGCTTATCTGTTGTGGCACCCCTCTGGGGGGCCAGTCTTTGCCTTCTGTCTGCCAGCTTCCATGTGAGATACCCACAGAGACACTTGGTCTGTGTCCTTCTAGGCTGCTAGGTGGCTCTTACTCCAGTCAGCTGGCCAGCTGTGGCCCAGGGCCCCACGCAAAGGCCAGGTGACAGCTTTCCAGTTTCTTGTGGAAGCCACAGAGCGCTTCTTACTTTGGTGGCCTTGCTTCCTCTCCTCGCGTGAACGTCTCTCCTAAGGTGACTGCCGCACTGACCTCTTCTGACACCTGTCCTTACGGCACATTAAAGGCTACTAAGGAACTACAAGAACCCGTTGTTGCTGCCTTGCGCACGTGCGTCCCCTTCACTCAGGGCGCAGGAGTCCTTGGCTCCACATGGCGCTGTCCGGATTGTTTCTTTAGACACCAGGGCTCATCTGATTAACTTCGAGCTACAGTTCAGGTCTTGAACGTTCCACATGCCTGGTGACAACAGATGGGGCTTTGGGAAGGTGATCTGGTGACCGGGGCGTGTTTGCCTCTGTGGATTAAGGTCCCCACAGATGAGTGCAGCTAAATGTTCTGCTAGCTGCAGTCTGGTAGGAAGAGGTGGCACCGGAGTGCGGTCTGGAGGGTGCAATGCCCCCTGCCCTTCGTGGCCTGCACTTCCCGCCGCTGTGCTGTGAGCAGCGCCCCTCTGCACCGCCACCCACTGCGCCAGCCAGCCCGCCCACTGCCCGCCGCCCACCGCCTTGGCCCTGGCGTGCGTGGGGCAGCCTGTAGGCCTTCAGAAGCTGTAAACTCCCCATTGCAGTCAGGTATTGCGTCTTGCTCCAGAAGACGCGACCCCGACGCTTCCTGCTCTCGCTGCTTTCCGCAGGGGAACAAGCAGCCCTTCTCTGTTACTGTCACATCAGGGCACAGCTGTCCCTGAGCACACAGCCTGCGCGACTCCAGCATCAAAGTTAGAAGGTGGAGAACACTGATACGAAAATAGGGAAGGAGGTGCTTCATCTGCACCTTGTCTTAAATTCGAGATTTTTCTTTTGAAAATTCCTTAGTCTAGGAATAATGTCATTTTATATTTTGTGCAGTCATTGGCATTTAGTAACTCATGAAAGCAAGTTAAACAAAAACATGACATTTTCCAGACCTGCGTGTTACTTACTGATTAGGAAAATCGAAAGAACAGTCTTGTCTCACTTCAGGGACAGAGAGCATAATTGGGACTGTTTACCCCGCGTCACGCGGCCGAGCTTCCACACGTGGCCTGCGCGTGACGCCCGTCTGAGCAGTCCAGGCGGCCGCCCTCAGCGCCTGGCTCCTGCCGCGCAGACACTTCTCCTGTACACTGCTTCCTAATGCGACAGCGACTCTGGATGCTGTTCCAGGAATAGCAACAGCAGCGCTGAGAAAGTGAGGGGAGAATGAGCTGGGACACAGCAGTAGCTGTGCTCAGGGTGGAGTGCCGAGAAGCCCATGGAGCCGAGAAGCCGCTCTTCCTCCTCCGCGGCTAGGCTAATCATTTTACCTGGCCTGGGAAACGGAGAGGGCGTTTACACAGCAGGCACCCGGGCTGCTCATGCCTCTGCCTTCTCCCCATCCGCCTGCCTTGCTGTCCTCCCTCCCTCCTCCCCTCCCTCCCTTCTTCTCTGCCCCCTCCCTCCTTCCATCCTCTCTCCCTCCCACCCTCCCTCCTCCCTCCCTCTCT